AGGAAAGGAAAAATGCGAAGTAGGGATGAGATGAGAAAACTGTATTAAAACGAAAGTGAAGTTGAAATAAAAATATTTGAAAATTTTTCTTTCTTAGGGGAAGAATACAAATCAAATAAAGTTTTAAAACACTTAAATCATCGTTGCTTTATATAAATTTAAAATATCTTCGAAGGAGAAGAGCACACCAATTTTTATTCCACTATGTGTAATATATACAAATGTGGTTGTAAACTATATTAATTAAGTGTTGCGTTCTTTTCTTTTCGCAAAGGCTAGTTAGCTCTTAAGGAAGCTGTCTTCAAATTTTGGTACATCACGTGTCACTATTTCTGCCCAGACTTGTTACAAGTGTAATACAAGTGAAAGTGAAAGAATATGGTGTAAAGCGGCTAATTTAAAGTCCCCCTGTGTACTTGACAATGCTTTTATTGGTCTTCTTAAAATATCAATCACTTAAAAAAGGGCTCAAAACCTTGTCAAAGATGATTCTAACTACTATTTTTTTGAACATTTTTTTGAGTAACGCGATGACGACCAGAAAAGAGGAAAGAGATGGAGAAGGCAAGGAGTTGACCGCAAGTCTAGAGGATATGTGCGCAATCGGTAAGTGTTATATTTTCGCCAACTGAGCACTCAGTATTATAGCTACGATCAATGAAACTTCAACCCTGCTTGAGATTTAAATCCGTGCGCACTGACTAATGGGCTACTGAGGCGGATAGCTTGTATTAAAATGAAGGCAGGCGTAATTTGCTTTAGAAGGAAGAGAGAGCGGGAGAGAGAGAGAGAGAGAGAGAGAGAGAGAGAGACCCTTAAACAATGAAATAGTTGAATTTGGCTTTTGTCGAAATTTTCGAGACCACCCTTTTTGGCTTGTACGCAACGCTTTGGTAAAACATAGAAGAAACATCCCTTCCCTTTATGTAGATCATACATCGCACCTTACACATCGTAGGTACTTTAAGGGCTGACGCCGTTCCAATCTCAATGCCGAGAGGATCGTAATTAGAATATGATATGTCTAACTTCGATTGTTATATCGCGGCTGACTTTAACTATACGCTCATATCGATTATAATATCATAAATAAGTTTTTAATAAATGCGGAATTATCTCAACCAAGGATTTTCTTCTTTTGTTAAAAAAGACAAACATCACAGAATTATTGCTGATACTTGACCCATTACCATTAATTCATTTTCATCGTATGGCTTTAGACGTATGGAGTGAAGTGACCTTCAAGGTTAATTCAGCATCTTTGATATTTGCTCCACGCAAGTTTGCCTCCTGTAAATCACTACCTGACAGATTACAACGTCCTAAATCGGCTCCGGCCAAAACTGTGGCCCGAAGATGACAATTCTTCATGTTTGCGTCTTTACGAATGGCTACTCGTAGATTGACACCAGTCATATTAGAGAACGTTGTCGCGCCCGCGATAAAGTCGCCATATGTTTATTTATGAGCAGACGTAAATCTGTGCCTCGCTACGTTGCTTTAGTTCCCGTTTCACGCGAGGACGCGACAGAAGGTTCTTATTATTCCTTGTTAATGAATGATGGTTTCAAAATTGTTTATTTACCTTACACTTTCTATGTAAGGCATGTGGATTTTAAGGGCTGGAATTCATTGGAGAATCATGCTAGCGACAAAGGAGTGGCAATCTGTGAGAAACTAGTTCGTAAATTGCGCTTGAAATGCAATCCAAGCCGATACAAATGTCCCTAAATGCATTTTGAATGGATTTCTATCGCTATAGATCAAATTTCCATTTTTGTTAATCTTTGCTTTTAATCGTATCAAACCAATTTTTAACATCATGCCTAACATTAACAAATAATTTATCCAAAATAAAATAAAAAAAAAACTTTTTTTCAAGTCAATAACGAATATGTTGCCCTTAAGTAGGGTCTTTTTACAGTCGTACGTGTTTTCCTTCTTATCGCTTACGTTTTTCATACCAATTTACTAGCTAATTTCATATTGTCTTTCACTTTTGAAAAATCATTTGTATTTGAACCAAGAAAGAGCTACTGTGTTAAATTGGCCATATCCTCACAAAGTTGTAAGTGATTAAATTATCTTTTTTCACTTTTTTGAGGCTTTATGCCTATTAATCGTAAGAAAAACCCCACACAATGCTCAAAACTATATTGTTGTTTGCTGTTCTTGTATCATTCCTTATCTAAATAAGGTTGGACATCATGACCTGGTGGATTAATGTTTTCTTAATAATGCCACTGATATGCGTATCATATAAAATGGCTTGGAGAGTAAAATGGGAAAAGCTAAGTGGTGTAATTGTAAATTAATTATGGCGGACGTCATGATAGTTGTAGATTAACATTTCTTAGCAATACCTTTTACGGCAGTAAAAGATGACACATAAATATTTTATCCCGTTTTCTTTTTGTGACAGTAAACAAGGGGGCGCTGAAGATTTTGATGGTGGTGGACATGCGAAATTCCGCTCAAGACGAATACAACTGTCTTGCTTATTGTCATATTATGCCGTGCGTATATTGATTGATTGACTTTAGAGAAAATAAATCAAATTAGTCTCTAATGGGGTCATTTATTGTAAAAGTCGTATTTTACTATTGTTACTTTCTTTTTTTGATTATCAATGAACCGAAAAGGCGTGGTTATGTCACAATATATAGAACATTTCTCATGATACATGTACTTGAACGTTTTTTAAAAGTCATATGTCGCGATGGTCGTGTCACGTATGTTTCCTATGAACCACATGAACTACGCGATTCCATACTCTGCCAAATAAATTCCCACCAAATCTCATGGTTAATCAATTTGGCGCGGTGCAAGGCTTGGCCCGTGATATCAAACAGCAATCATTTGGGCATTGGTAAAGTGGTACATAATTTTTAAGATAATACTTGTAATAAAAGAATATTAATTCAATTTAAAAGAAATGTCAATTAATATGAATTCTTTTTTTTTCTAAATTTAAGTAATTAAATTTAAAATTGGAATAATAACTTATATAAAAAGGATTATAATTGATTTGAAATTTACATTGCCCGCTGTCATAATTTGTTTTGGCTTCAGACTTTCCACCACAAACGCATAAAGATATAACAGTGCTAAAAACAGTAAAATACTTAATATGCTGAACACCGTAATTGCATGAGTGGCCTCATATATGCAGCCAGTTAAAACATTGCCATCACCATGCGAGCACATAAGCTGGCTTTATTCAAAACCATTCTGAAAGGGAAAAAATGCATCACTTAGATTTAGCTATTCATTCCTACACACCTTATTTACCTTAAAGCTCGGGATTTTGCTTTAGCTACCGATCCGATATGTAATTAAGACACAAGTGTCACCACTGATGTTACTGAACAAAGGAAAAACAACCATCGATTTATAATAACTTTTGAAGAGATATAAATTGAAACAGTTGCAATAATTCTGCTAATCAAATAATCTGCAAAAATGTTGTGATTAAGAAAGATAAGAGAAAATTTGTTACTTTTTTTGTTACTACTAAATTTAGTCAGGAGTATCGGACGGCTGCTTTGCCACTAAGGTTTCTACTTACTGGGATATAATTTTCACTGCCGTGTAACGCAACTCTGTGTTTTCATCATGCAGTGTCGAATAAAAATGACCAATCCTTGGTTCAATAATACTAGGAAAGCGAAATGTGAGATCAGATAGGCCGATCACAGTGCTGCATTTGATTTTGATATTTTTGGTATGATTGAGAATATTCATCAAGAAAGGCATGTAAGACTCACAGACGCGTGATGAAACGCACATAAAACGTACAAGAGGCAAAGAGGGTGATTGCTGTAACGTTGGGTCACGATATTTAAATGGATATTTACAAATCTCTAAAATGAAGGGGAACAGTTTCGGTAACAAAGCATTTTCGTCATAAAAAAAAATCTCTTCGCAGATGTGACTCACTACTCATAGTAGTCAAATTCGCCTGTTCCTATTGTGTGTGCTTTAGTGGCAACAGTTGGTAAAGCATTTTACTCCAAGCCTGATCAAATATCTTGTAAGGCACGAATGATGCTACTACTTAACAGAATCCTTTGTAGTTTACTTGTATTAACACCTTTTTTTCTTTGTTTTTGAGACGTTCACGTTTTCGAAATCATTTGTTCTTGTATTTTATAATTGTATCGAAGCGTAGAAAGAACAGAACGTACGAAAACATGTTACCAACTTACATATGGCCGCTGTTAAGTAAAGTAGAGGTAGGTATTGAATGTCTTCCACCTTCTTCACAAACTTCATGGGAACTGTCTTCTATCGCATTTTCCTGCAAGCCACTACAAATTCACATGTATGGATATATTCCTCTTCTTTCTTATTTTCATTTACATTAATCAATACCTTTTTGCATCTTCCTCGTTACCCAGTCGTAAGATAACATCGTTTCGGGAGCATTCGTCACTTTGATTAATTTCCTTATTACATTTCGTAATTTAGGAATTGTTGCCAATGCCAATAGAATCATTTGTTTCAAAGACTCCGCTACTTGCCTCACACCAGATTGTACCATACCGGTTAGAATCATTGCTTGCGAAATTGCTAGGCCAACATTACCGCTATAAGTTTCTGGAAAAATATTAAATAAATTCAAAGAGCCTGAAAATTAACACGAAGCTTTTTGTATAATACTTACGTTGGCTTAACACAATAAAACTGAATGTTACGGAAATTAGAAAGCAACAACTAACGCAATCTAGCCAAAGCCCCAAAGCTGTGTTGGCTGCCATTATCAATTGTCAGAAAGCACTGTGAACATTTTGCAAATCGTCGAACTCACGAATTACTATCTTGTGTAAATTGCGTGAATGTACGTATTGTAGCCAAACTGGACAATGAGGAAGATAAATGGGAAAACACCGGACTACGGCCTTAAAGTATATAAAAATTCTATGCATTACTCCTTCTCGCTTACATTGAGCTACAAAACTAACAGATTCCTTCCAAGCGCTTTAGTTCTTGTGATGGACGCATATATATACGCAAGATTAAAATATCTAGGACTGTTACTATCGTTATAGCAGCCGACGATTGAAGCGCCATAAATGTATAAGCATTCGTAGGTTGTTAAGATAGTTGTTTCATTGATAGAATGCAGATACTCCTGCTGCGTCCATATATTTACAAAATAATCTGAGCCGCCTCGCACAATTTGTGGTAGCAACATAATGAAAACTATGAAAGATAAGCCCACCAACGTGCTACCGGCTCGAAAGTATGCATTCCAAACTCATAAACTAACGCCGCCACCAGCTTGCTCTTCTGCCGCTATCTTATCAGTTAATTCGTCATCTGCATTTTCCTAGAATAGTGGTGAACATATAGGCTTATTCCTTAAACATGATTTTCTTAAACATTTTTAGCAACTAAGTGAATTCCTTGACTGAGATTCTTAATGGTTGGTAGCCGTTTTCACGCACCCCATCTATATAGGGAATATCTTCTTCTTCTTTATTCGAATATTCCGAGTTGAAAGTGGTGCTTTCACTTTTGCTGTTTTCTCTTTGGGGACGCTCTAGCAGCTTGGCGAAGTCTAATTCACTTATGATTAGTTCCTTATATGTGCCCTGACGGAATGTGCGGCCGTTTTCAATTATAACTATCCTATCTGCTTCGTTGAGAAAGTGCACTTGATGTGTAATAAGAATGCGAGTAACATTCTGCTGAACCAAACAACTTCTTAATCCAATAACCTCTTCGAGATAGGCACCAACTGCACTAAGGGGACCATCTAAAAGTTAAATCGAGGCCGGTTTATAAATGGGCCGTGCGAAACTAATGCGAGGTATTTGTCCTCCCGACAAAGACGCGCCACGTTCACCTACCGTATCACCGTATGGCAATTGCTCGAAATTCGCCGATAAAGCACAGCATTTAGTTATCTCTCCATAACGTGCTTTAGTATATTCTTCACCGAATAAGATATTATTCCGCACCGTACCTAAGAACAGCCAAGGCTCCTGAGCAGTATATGAAATGGTTCTATTAATGACAACTCCACCGGTGTTACGTAGACGGTCTGTGTAAATTGTCCAATATTTTACGTGAATGAGAAGATTAAGAAAAATCCATGGCTTAGCTTAACAGTGGTTTAGTTAGCTCTAAGTTTTCAAAACTGACTTTGAAAGAAAGACGACAGCCGCAAGTCATATTCTTTTCATTGGTAATGACGTAACCGCTCGCGAAAATTTCTGTAATTACGGAATTGGGTTGGTAACAGCAAATAACAGTAAATATGTGTAAATATTTCCCAAAAGTATTATAGTAAATGCCAAACGCAATAATGGATTTGTAAATTTTCAGAAGCAGTTGAAATTAAAATATAGCCATTGACATGAACTGTGTCAGATAGGTCCGGAATGAACGCTTTCAATTGTTTGCAAATCATTCCGTGACAGCACATATAATAATTGCTGCATACAATACCTACATATGGATGATTCAGTTGCTAAATCGATTAACTCCCCCAATCACGAAAAAATTTTAGTAATAATAACAATTACTCCACGTAAAAATCAACAAAAATCGTTCTACATACTTTTCCGTGGTTATAGACATGTAGACGAACTGTTTTTTTTTTTTACATTCAAAGTTGCGCCATGTAGTACACTTCAACACCACAACACACCACAACATTTGCATACACTATAAAGTGAAAGATTTCGAAATTGGGGATTTCATTTTTTTAGCACCCGGAACTGATTGGGATGACGACGTCGAGGAATCAATATACGTACATGCTCTTCAGTTATCGAAACTTCTTTAAATTGCCTCTTCGGTCTTTCAAACATCATAGAAGTATTTCGTTAAGTTTCTATAATACCCAACATGACTTATACCAATGGCGTATTAAGTTAGTGCGGATGCATGCAACACGCGAGTGGAATTACTATAGACTCATCTTTTATTATGCCGATCGATTCCGGACTACATTTTGCATCGATCTAAGTTTTTCTATCTCGTTTGTTTCCTTCAACCTACAAGTCGCAATTTTTGTGATCTTTTGACGAAATTTGGTACATATTCGACGATAGCTATTGAAAATTGATCGAAACCACTTTCTCGACCACTTCACATATAATGCCTCATTTTAAAAAATCATTGTATGAGTAGCCGCAATGTGGTGGAGTTTAGTATTGGGTGGCGGGTTTTGATTTACTATCGAAATCTTACCTGCCATTTTAACTTTTCTTGTCCTATTGCGTTTGTGTATTTCCCGTTTTCTCTTATCTTGTCATCCGCAACACCTTAAGCATCTTAGTATGATAACACTTTGAGCTTCTTTAAGAAGTTGCGCTAATTTTTGATGGAAATCTTTGATGCAGGCTTTTACGAACAGATATTTAATGGGTCGTTGCAGCACCAGCAG